AACTTGCATCATAAAGAACACAATAGAACTGTTGGATCCCTGAACAAGGAGCTTGAGCTGTACCTAAACCTCGCCATCGATCTCGCCGGCTTGGAAGGTGTTGATGAAGCGTACGAGAACTATCTAAAAGATACTCTGAGTTTGTTGGAGTCACATCCCTGCTCTCTGAAGACCATCGCTTTACCCGCGACGTCTTCGAAGAGTCCAGGGTACTTCGACTCGACGGAAGCTTCAGCTAGGGAGGTAGATCCACATCAGTTGCTTCCAGAAGATCCGCTCTTCCAGTCTCTCATGGATTTACTTCTGAGGTTCCTTACAAACGATGTCGAGACAAACCTGGCGCTTACCGAGGCATTGATTACGCTCGGCACCTGCTCACAACTGCGTCTGGAAGGATGGTTATCCGTGGATCCTGCCGACTATCACTTCGAAAGCGATAGTCCTGAAGTCGAGTCGTTCACAAATGACAACTTGCGCGCCATGTTCCTAGCAGAAAGGTTTCCGAAATGGGAGTCCTCTGCTACTCCCCAACTGTTTGCATGCCTACAACGTCTCCAGGCGCAAGTCGATGCCCTGCGCAGCGATATCAAGGACTGGGATGAGCACGTTGCGAACCGTAAGCATGCCTTCCGCTTCCATCAGGATCTCGTAGAGGAGTCAAAACTGTCGACGCCTCAGTCAAAGCCTGCGCGACCTCCCTCAGAAACCCCAGCTGGATCTTGGACGCCGCAAATACCACAACACGTACGTAACCAACCGACGACGCCCTCCAGAGCGCAATCTCCGAGAGGCAGGAAGGAAACTCTTTCTGAGGCAAGGAACACACCCACTACATCACCCGCACCATCAAGATATGGAGGCCAGACACTCGTTGGTTCACCTGCCCGAGCATCGTCCCCTATGTCAGGAACATACGCCGTACAGCAGCCTTCTTTGATGTCCGACGTCGACGCTAGCATATCACAGATCAGGATGAGTCAGTTCGGCAAGAGGCGTATTCGCTTCCGCCGGCCGGCTGGATCAAAGGAGGTGGAGGTCATGCTATCGAAGTTCCAACCACCGCCAAAGGAACCTTCTGATGACGCGGCGACAGGTGCTGAGGATTCAGAAGAAGATGATATTCGAGAGGCGAGCTTACTACACATCATTACAAACGTGGTCATACTGCAGAACTTTGTGTTGGAGCTGGTTGCGTTGATGCAGGTCAGGTCAAGTCTGTTCAATGAGGTCAGATTCATCTGATTGTAGGTTTGCCGAGGGAAGCGTTTGATGTAGTAAGAATATACCCATTTTTATCTCTCCTTCAATACGTCCCGAGGAACATCTTGTAGGACAGTCAGGATTGCCTGGGCATCTTCCGAGGCATCTTCGCGCACGTGCACGTCGGCCGCTTTCGGGATGGGCTCTGCAGCGGAGAGTTTCCGACAGCCCCTCTAACGTCATCTCCCACACTTTCACATGTCGATCATTCCACCCCTCGTCCATCATCAGACGCTCGCCTACACGAGCTTGTGAAAGCGCGAACCCGGAAACACGCGAAACTCGAATTCAGGCATAACACCAGGATTGCATGTGCTATCATCCCAAGCAGGCCATGATGAACGGCCAATGGCTTGGGCAGCTGGGCAACTGTGGCTCGGCAACGTAATTCCTCGAGCCGATCGCCGGCCGAACGACATCAGCGCATCGTAACTTCCGCTCGCCCACCCATGGCGAAATCCGGGGTTTGCCAAGGTACCCCATTGTTTGCCAGCTGCCAGACAAACGCGTGCCAGTCGACACTAAGACACGCGGTCTGGGCTCACGCAAGGGCCGAGGCTGGCGGAGCAAATGGGTGTTTGTCCTCACACCCGCGGGTAGTCAAGGCAGGCTTCTGATCAGCGATGTATGGAATATGACTGAATGCATTTCCTTGCGCTCGTGCTTTCCTCGCTTTCCTAACCCTCATTTCGAGTCTCCTTCTTGATACCCGTCGCATAGCTGTTGCTATTGATTAGCTTGCTTGCTCTCCCTCTGTCGTCATCTCTAGAAGCCGAGGTTTCTAAAGCGCATTACAGCTCACATTCCGAAAATTGGGCTCCAGCTCAGGGTCGCTCCTTCAGTGTCATAATCTCGTGTAACCCCACGTGCTCGTGCCTTGGACGGCCTTTGGTCCCAATTCCTCGCAGCAAACACCTTCCTGAACACTTGCGCTCCAACTCTACACAACATGTCTGCGAAATCAGTACAAGGGCCTGGCGGCAAGAAGCCCGCGTCGGCGGCCACAAACTTGATCGGTAAGCCTCGAGTTGTGAATTTGGAGGGTATGCGACCGCGATGGCAGGATACTGACGCGACATGAAGCCGGTGGTGGTGCTGGAATGATGGAGGCACTCGCGTGTCATCCTCTCGGTGAGTTACAAGTCCCCAAGCCTACATTATCTGCGCATCAAGTCTAACTGGATATCAGATACGATCAAAGTCCGCATGCAACTGTCAAGACGAGCTCGCGCTCCAGGAGTACGTCCCAAATTATACTTTCGAAGCGGTCGGCATATACTATCCAGAACGTCACTGATTGGTGTACATTACAGGCAAAGAAGCGCGGGTTTATTACGACCGGAACCGAGATTGTGAAGAGAGAGACAGCATTAGGCCTATATAAGGGATTAGGCGCCGTTCTCACAGGCATCGTCCCGAAGATGGCCATACGCTTCACGAGTTATGAGTGGTATAAGCAGATGTTAGCGGACAAAGAGGGCAATGTCGCGTCAAAATCTACATTTATGGGTAAGTCTGAAGCTCGCGGAATCGCAAGGCGCATCTCTTCGATACAGAGTTTGCTCAACAATGATCGAATACTAACACTCTACAGCTGGCCTTGCCGCTGGTGTCACGGAGGCCGTTCTCGTCGTCACACCTATGGAGGTCGTCAAGATCCGTCTTCAAGCGCAGCACCACTCGATGGCCGATCCGCTCGATATACCCAAGTACCGAAACGCCGCGCATGCCATGTATACTGTCATCAAGGAAGAAGGTGCAGGCGCATTATGGCGTGGTGTCTCGCTCACAGCGTTGCGCCAGGGAACAAACCAAGCAGCAAACTTCACCGCGTACTCGGAACTCAGGGCCCAGTTACAGAAGTACCATGGCACAACAGATCTGCCGGGCTATGAGACGAGTCTGATCGGGCTGATCAGTGGTGCTGTTGGTCCGTTTACGAACGCGCCGATCGACACCATCAAGACGAGGTTGCAGAAGACGCCTGCGGAGGCAGGTCAAACTGCTATTCAGAGGATAGTAAACATCGGAAAGTAAGTTCTCGAGCGCAACCAACTTCCGAGTGTTAGCTGACAATTCACAGCGACATGTGGAAGCAGGAAGGTATCCGCAGTTTCTACAAAGGTATCACGCCGCGTGTGATGCGAGTAGCCCCCGGCCAAGCTGTCACATTTACCGTGTACGAATATCTGAAGGGTGTGTTGGAGAAAGGCAGAGAGATGCTCCCTGGTGGGGCATACGAGGAGTGAGCTATCATGGCGTTCTCCAGTCTGTTGGAGAGCGCCTGTCGATGAGCATAGGCTATTTTCCAAGCATATTACAGCACGTAATTCCTGTGACATACCACACTATATGCATTCTAGACGCCACCTCAGGAACCAGACTGCATGATAGAAGCAGGGCTGCCAAGGTGCATCGGCCGTCCAGCCCACCTGCCCCACTATAGTACAGCATCACCGCTGGTTCGACGTCAGTGTACACGTTGAAATCAGTGCATTCAACAACATCGCAGCATCCTCTTTGAGTGTTCCGAAAACCACAGAAGATACTGCAGTAGAACCTTGCCAAGATGCAGTCTGGTATCTCCGGTAACGATCTTCCAGCGCGTTCCAACCTCGCACCCCACTAACAACCCCCATAGCTTCCCAGGAGCTCAAATCCGCCGTCGGCAGCCTCATAACCTCGCCCTCGCAACGCGGAATCCTAGCCACAATCCAAAATGAAACCATCATCCCCAGCGACACCATATCCTCGTCAGCAACGACTTTCCTCGCCGACCTCTCCAATCTCCAGTCCCGCATCCAGCCCAATGCCGCACTGTACATTCTCCTCCGCCGCGCCGACTCGCTGTCCTCGCCCGACAAATCTCTCGTAGCAGTAACATATGTACCCAATGCCGCGCCGGTACGCCAGAAAATGCTCTTCGCATCCACGCGCCTCACTCTCGTGCGTGAACTAGGCGGAGAGCATTTCAGCGAGAGTGTCTTCACGACCGAAGCATCAGAGCTCACGCCGGAAGGCTGGGAAAAACACATTGCGCATACAGCGTCTGACAACCCGCTGACAGCGGAGGAACAATCGCTGCAGGATATCAAGGATGCCGAGGCCCTGGAGAGCAGAGGCACACGCGGCCAGGGCCTGGCTCAAGGAGGCAGAATCGCCATTCGGGCGGATGATGAGATTGGCGGGGCGTTGAAGAAGTTGGGACAGGGTGCAACGGATAACCTCGTGCAATTGCGCATGGACGGCGCGTCGGAGACGCTTCAGCTTGTGTCTTCTTCGTCAGCGACGCCTTCAACTCTCTCCCAGGCTATCGATGCCAAGGAGCCGCGGTACTCGTTCTACCGTCATGATGACGCTGCTGCGAGTATCGTCTTCATCTCGACGTGTCCGAGTGGAGCGAAGATCAGGGAGAGGATGCTGTATGCAGCGAGTAGGGGCAATGTGGTCAGTCTGGCGCAGAACGATGGTGGGCTCAAGGTGGAGAAGAAAATTGAGGCGACGGATCCAGATGAGATTACTGAGCAGGTTATCCTGGACGAGTTTAAGGTGGAGAAGAAGGAGGAGAGCAAGGGTTTTGCGAAGCCGAAGAGGCCTGGACGGCGGTAGATGGTATAGCAGGTATGAAAGTGGACAACACGATGGGCGGCAAAACTTATCATCAAAAGCATAAACATGAAGATGGCAATGGATATCTTTTGCGCCATGCTGCACAAGTCCGACTGGCACTGTGCTACTATCTACTCTCCGTTCCTCAAGAAACCCCGGTTACCATGCGGCCTCCTCTCCATCTTCTTCCCGAATCTAACGCCGGGTTTCCCTGCCTTCTTGTCCATTTCACGCCCCTTCAACCAGTGTTCACGTACGTTCTTTGTATTCCTGTTGACCTTAGGCGGCAGCACCCGGTTCTGCTGTGCCAATACCGCTACGCTGAGCTTGCCCTTCTTCACATCCTTCGCTGGCTTGTCGACGCGCTCCAGGAACTTGATGTGGTGGTTGAGCTTCTCCTTCCTAAGTTCCTCCTCTGTCTTTCCGCGCCGCTGGGGCGGTGGCGTGGGAGGGCGTTGGTCGTCGATGGTCTCGAGGAGGGAAGCGGGCAGGAGACCGTTGGATACGTCAATGTCCATGCGCGACGCAACTTCTGGCTCTTTGTCGAGGGGGCCGGCGGCAGCCTTTGCTTCCTTGGCAGCTTTCTTCGCCGACTTCTTTGCCTTCTTCTCCTCACGCTCGCGCTTTGCAGCTTGTTGAGCAGCAACGAGTTCCTCGCGCGCTTGCCGCTTGGCCTGCTCCTTTGCTTGCTGAGCCTTCTGCGCGCGGTCGGCTTCGGCTTGCGCAGCTCGTGCTTTCGAACCTGCAGCGGCTGTGGTGACTACCTCGGGGGCTTCGTCGTCCGAATCGCTTGCTTCATCCTGGTCGACTTGGCTTGTTTGCGTTGGGGGTAGTGACTCGATGGGCTGAGAAGCTTCATATCGCTTGTGGCCTTGCTTGATCGCAACGGGCGAATCTTGCGACTCGGCAGGCTCCTCGCTACCAAAGCGTCTATGCGTCTTTTCAGGTTGTGCTGAAGGAGGCGCGTCGCCTTGCGAGGGTATAGGAGCTGTGCTGCTCTCGTACGAGGACGTTGGAATCTCGTCAGGGAACTTGGACGGCGTCTCTACAACCTTCTTCGGGCGGCCTCTGCCTCTCTTGGCTGAGCCTGGTGCTAGCGTCTGGCCATCTCCCGTCTTAGCCTTGGGTGTAGGTGATCCCTCAGGTTGCTTAAATGTTGTGGCGGGCGTCGCGTATACTGAACCTGAACCTGAACCAGGCTGCTGCGCTGGTGTGTAGAAGGACGGATTTTGTGAAGTTGCTGGCGCCTCTTCCCTGCCTTCACCGAAGCTGTCCGTGGCCGTCGAATCATCCGGTGACTTCCTGCTGACTACAACGTGGGGGCTCGATCGGCGTCGGAGTGGCAGAAATTCATCCTGTGTCGGCGTCTGAGGGTCTTGGGTCGCAGGCGCCGCGGCGACAGCGATTGTGTCTGAGACATCCTCTACGGACTCTTGCGAAAGTCCTTGTGAAGGCGCATCCGAATTGGCGGTCTGCTTGGCAGATCTCTTCTTGGAGGACGACGTGGGCGCAGACTTCCTCTGCCTTTTCGTTTGTGTCGGCGTCTCTAGCGACTCGAGTTCTCGCTTTCCTGCGGCTTTCCTTGTCGAGCTGCGCGGCGTCGGTGTCGGTGCGCCTGGCGTCTCTGTTCCGCCTCGTGTAGTGACCATTGCGTCTTCGTTGCTGTGGGTTGATACGCGTCGTGTACGGACCGCGGCTGTTCTTGTCGTTGCTGCGTTGGTGGATCGCGCGATGTGGAAAAGATTCTGGCGTGCCAAGATTTCGCGGCCATTGCGGACCCCCGAGACTAGCGGGCCTGTGAATCCCAAGGATCACCGCATCGCCATTCACCAACTATCGGGCAGTCATCTCGTAACTATGTCGACTAGTCGCGCAGTATTACGCTCAGCAAGCGCAGTCGCGCGTCTAGAGCCATGTTTTTCGTGCCGATCGCGTCAAACAACTCTAGCCATCCGCTACAATGCTACGAGATGTCCGATGGCCTCGCATTGGCTTGCAACAGGCATGCGAACCCAGAATTATTCCATCAACCGAAAATTGGATCCAAAAGCACGTGTTGATGTTGATACTCGCGCTCGACTGGGCTTCTACACCATATGCAAGCAACAAAGCATATTCAATATCGAGCCGCGTACGGCTCTGAGCATCTACAATGACTTCGTTGCGAAAACGAAAACAACTTCCCATAGCGACAACGTTTTGCGGATAGTCGAGAGTAGGTTCGCGGCCCATACTCCCCTCTATAGATGGCACTGACATGAGCAGAATACAACCTCCGATTGATTGATATTACATCTCTTGCGATGGCCACATTCAAAGTACCCGATCTCAGCAATCCAGAGATAAGAGCTCGACTGCCTCCTAGTCAGCACAAAGAAGTCGCTGTTATGCTTCTGCAAGGATGTGCGCAAGCTGGGGATCCTCTCGCGATCGTACACATCCTGACTGTCGTCTACCTTGGCAGTTTGGGCAACCAGCCCGCTCAAGAGATTGCAAGGCTCTTTCCACAGAAAGATATCGCCCAATACCGCCAGCTGCTCGACACGATTGACTTGCAGACCTTGGAAAAGACTCCAACTCTAGTAGTTGAAGTTTTGACTCTAAGAGGACTCTTCCTTGAGCAAGCAGGACAGAAGCAAGAGGCCATAAAAGCATACCAAGAAGCCATCAAGCCTTCAACTCTTAATGATCAAACTGGAAGGCCATTAACGCATGCGATGCAATTTCCCCTTATAGCACCCTGGAATGCGCTCGGTTATCTACTCAAGGCAGACAAAGATCCGAAAGTACAGGCAGAAGCCCAGTCATATTTCCAGAAAGGCGCTCTCGAAGGTGATGATCCGCTTTCATACTACGAACTCGCAGCCTATGAGCCGAAAACAAGCGAAAAGTGGTTGCGGTATACGAGCAAAGCAGCAGCATCCGGTCACAGACAAGCCATACTGGACCTCACTGGCTTCTATCAAGAAGTGGCAGCATCGAACTCGTCTGTTTTAGAAAACGGTAGCATACGACATGCGCTCAACTGGTTACTGACCTGGAGACGCGGAAGCGCCGCGAAGCTTGCGCGAGAGTGGTTACATGTGGCGTCTGTCGTTGGACACAAACCTTCCATGTTACAACTTGCGGAGTATCACAAGTCTATTGGTCATGAAGAAGAATACAGGAATTATTTGCGTATGATAGTCGACTCTGACAGCGCGGCCCTTTACAAAGAAGAGGCACCACAGCTTGTGCAAGTTGCGAGGTTGCGGCTTGCGGGAACCCGGTAACAGCCAATACAACCAGTAGGAGACCATGTCCTGTATACTCCATTCTCTTCCAGTGTATCATGCGTGTTTGCCGCGCTCATAAGCACAGCCTGGTATCGTTTCAGAAGCTACATTCATCTGAAGTGTCTATCAGACAATTACGCAACTGTTCGATGATTCTGCGCAAACGATCTCCACCCCAGATCGATCTCGTATTACGCATTAGACATACATATGTGTGTTGAAAGACATCTTGGTCATATCCTCGACAAAACGACTATCTCCGGATCTACCCCGGCCTACCCCACCTCGGCAGGTGAGCTACTGGCCTTCCTTATCTGGCACTCTGATAGTGGCCACAGCATCCGATGACTGCTTGAAGACTTATATTCATCGCCAGTATGATCATCTATCTACTTAACACATACCATTCTGCATCTTCATGAAGACATTAAGCACAATCTACCATCAAAAATCGATCTTTGATCACTTCAATCTAGCATAAAATCTGTTCTCACAATCATGTCGTCTATTATCCCTCTCAACAGTCATCGAAAAGCCTTGATAGGATCACCTTCAAACTTCTGGTCGCACTCTACCAAGAATGGCTTTGACCTCACTCATCCCTCTACGCACTCGTCACCAACTACCGGGCCCACACACACCATCCAGACTCGAGCTGATGCCATCACAATCGATCCTTCGAAATCCGCCCTTGTCATCATTGACATGCAAAACTTCTTTCTCTCCGAAGCTTTCGGCCGCGGTCAAAAAGGTCCTGGTCACATTGCCTGCGAACAGTTAGTCAAGTACGCTATCCCAGCTGCACGCAAGGCTGGAATCAGAGTCGTATGGGTAAATTGGGGGCTTACGAAGGAAGAAGCTAAAGAGATGCCGCCAGCTGTGAAACGCGCATTTGGCTTCTTCTCCATTCCGGAAGATGCAGATTTCAAAGCCGACGACGCTTTTGGACACCAAGAAGGAAGCGTGAGCATGGATCGACATGGCAAAGAAAATCAGTCTTTCTACCGTGGTATCGGTGCTGACTGCGGGATGCTCAAGTTTCCAGACGGGAAAACCGTAGAGGGGGGTAAATTACTCATGCGCGATTCTTGGAACGCAGCGCTCTACCCTCCACTTGATGCCATGTATGTCGAAGGCAGCAAGTTGGAGAGTAGGCCTGACGTCTGGATCCATAAGAACAGGATGAGCGGGATGTGGGGTGCTACGACACCCCTCAAGGAGTTTCTGGATCAAGAGGGCATTAGGACCTTGTTCTTCACAGGTGTCAACACCGACCAGTGCGTGGGTGGAACCCTGACTGATGCATTCAGCAATGGGTACGACTGCGTGTTATTAGGTGATGGCTGTGGGACGACCACACCAGACTACGCACAGCAGTGTTGGGAGTATAACGCCGCTAGAACCTTTGGGTTCTGTGCAAGTTGTCAACAGTTTGCCGAGGGCTTGGGTAACTCTTGAATATGTAATCTACGTATCTTCATTTGAATACAGAAACCGATGTAGAAGGATCGTGTGTACACCTATGAAGTCAATGGTCTCCGTGGTAACTCTTCAAAGAGTTCCCAGGAGCATCTGTGGGACGGTCTAATCCACACATAGCCAATACCAGTCTGTCCACTTCGTCACCTCCACATCCTATAAAACCCACCTTTCCTGAGCCTACTGCTGCAAAGGCTACTGAAGCGAGACGTTCCGGTTGTTGTCGAGCACGGTATACGGCCTGTTCTTTAGGTACGCCTCGGAGGAGGAGGTCTTGATTCTGCATTATTGGGGAGAGGACCGTGGTACACAGCAAACCAGGATCGTTTTGTACAAGATCAGTAATTACGATCTCACTTGTTACTAACTCCCACTTAAGCTCGAAGTGGTCCTTGAAGAGAGCCTCGAAGGCGTCCACTCTATACATTGGCCAATGGAAGTATCCCGTGAATATTGTGGTACAGCCGTTTCTCGTTCGTTCGATCAAACGATTACGTAGCGTGGTGCTCGGTTCTTCGTTCTCCAGGATGAGATTGCTCTGGACTAAGATAACATTTGGCCAGTCTGTACTGAGGCATTCGATAGCGTCTTCTACCGTTCGCGACTCGTGGACCGCTGCTCGTTGTATCAGGCGAGGCGCAATCTTATCTGATACACCAAACACCGTGGATCGATCTCCTGCTAGTGTAATGACAAGAATATTGAGCATGATGTGCGAAGCCCCTGCCAATGTAACTTTGACTGTCAATGAAAAGCTGGGTCTGGAACTGATGAGCACGAAATCAGTAGATGGAGTCTGTTTATAAGAACAGAAATACGCTCAGAGCAATCTTCAGCTCATCAAACGAATAGGCAATCCACGCATGATTCAGCATCGTGCACAAGCAAGCAGGGAAGTAAGCTACCAGCGTGCCTGATGGGCTCGTTCTTCAGCAAGTGTAGAGGAATGGGAGACGTCCACGAAGGTAACTTCTAACTAGCCGTGCAGTGTAAAACTACAACAATTGAAGTTCTACAGGAGTGGCGCTTCCTGATCGGACGATATCTATCGCCCCGCCAAGGCCGCCGCGGACATCGGAAAAAGCCTCGGCTAAGCAGCGCGAACGCAAGAAGCAGCTCCGATGCTATCCCCCACCCTGGTTCTTCTACATCATTACCGGTGATACCCCCGAAACATTACGCTGCCAGGTGCTGAGGAGGAAACACACACAACATGTCAGGATTGAGGATATTAGTGCCCGTCAAGCGGGTCATTGACTATGCGGTACGTTCATTACACTAACACATGAACATGGCGCATGCATGTTCAACCTGGAGGCTTGAAAGAATGGCTCCGAGGATGAGAGCACTCAAGACGGCTGTCTCAGTAGCGAATGACACTGACACCATGATCAGGTCAAGCCCCGCGTCAACCGCGCCCAAACCGCCGTAGAAACCGCAAACGTCAAGCACTCGATGAATCCCTTCGACGAACTCTCCATCGAAGAAGCCGTCCGCATGCGCGAAAAGAAGGCCCACCACGCGAATGCCCCCAACGTAGAAGAGATCGTCGCCTTCTCCGCCGGCGTCCCCAAATCCCAAGACATCCTCCGCACAGCCATGGCCATGGGCGCAGACCGAGGCATACACGTAGTCGTAGAAGAGAAGGACGCCCTGGAACCACTGGGCGTCGCGAAGCTTCTACGGAAAGTAGTAGACGAGCAAAAGAGCAATCTTGTAATCCTAGGCAAGCAAGCCATCGACGACGACGCCGGCCAAACAGGACAAATGCTCGCAGGCCTCCTCAACTGGCCGCAGGCAACACAAGCCTCCAAAGTCACAATCAACGATCAAACCGTCGAAGTCGTCCAAGAAGTCGACGGTGGTGTTCAAACAATCAAAGCCAAACTTCCCAT